AGTAAAATATGGATATATCGAACAGTTTTCAATCTCAAAGTCCATTTTAATACAACAAATCTGGAGCAAAGCAAACACAGACCTCCAAAAACATCAGAGGTGGATCAGATGTCATGGAGAAGTAACCATCCCTTATCGACCAGTAGCACCCGCTATGTTCTCCTTGTCATAATCGGATGAGCGAAAAAAAAATCTGTAGAAAATACAGTGGGTATATTATGGCCCAACTATTACTATGAAAAACATGAATCAGCATTTGATCTAATGATAGATTTTATTTGCTGATAAGATCATTGAATCTACAATAAAACATGCGAAATGATTACAAGATTATTGATATCCTTGTATCATCATTTGTTGGTAACAGCTTAAGTCATTTTGAAAATTGATCGTACATGCATGCTCTTGCGTATCGAATCATTTTGGAAACATAAACCTCATATGCAGATGAAAATGGTATATTGTTAATTAAGCAATATATACCCTCATCATGTATAATAGGTTTATTGTAAGATGATTGATTGATTATATACTGTTTAACGTCCCTCTCCAGAATATTTCACTGATATGGAGACGTCACCATTGCCGGTGAAGGGCTGCAAATTTAGGCCTATGCTCGGCACTCAGGGCCTTTGAGCAGGGAGGGATCTTTATCGTGCCACACCTGCTGTGACACGGGGCCTCGGTTTATACGGTCTCATCCGAAGGACCGCCCCATTTAGTCGCCTTTTACGACAAGCAAGGGGTACTGAGGACCTATTCTAACCCGGATCCCCACGGGGCGTTTATTGTAAGAGCAATGTCCATGTCTATGCTGACGTATTTGTGTACAGTTACATTACATTCATATTGCTGCCTTGTGAGCATGGAAGATTCCAACACTACCGGCATTGTCATTGCTACCGTGCATAGTTTATTTAATCCGGTATTCTTCTCGTTGTCTACAGAAAGGTGTACTCATTGATAGGCTATTAGTATGACGGTAACCCTTTCTTTGTTTAGGATAGCTTGGTGTTGGCCTCTATTGTTAATTTGAAATCTGTGCAACAATATTCTTTAATTAAGATAACCCATGGTTCCACCAACATGCCCTCGAAGGGTACATTCTATAATGTAGACGACATTACTGCTTTTCAGATTTTCCCAAGGTTTGATATAGGCGCCCTGTGCAGTAGGATATAGAAAACGAAGAGTTTGTAATCAAAACGTCGCAGGTTTTACAGTTTGTGGTAGAACATATGAGGGGAAAACACATGAAAACGGAAAAGGAATCCTCAAATATATCTCTAATAGAAATTTAGCATTCCATTTTTGTATGAACTGTTAGTTTTATATCAAACTGGGAATCTGAAGATTGCTTACATGGTATATATAGACTAAATATCCATGAAAATTATCCGAGGAACACCTATTGAACCCTAACAATCTCTCCAATGTAGACTTGACCGAGTGATGCCTTTTTATACCCGGTCACGTGTCTGCCAGTATCTTTTCACTATGCTATGTACTTTTCATGAATGAATATGTACCGAACGACAAGTATCCTTTGGGACAGAATGTCCACCTCAAAGATAAATGGTTGTTTCAATAAATAGGGAGATAACGAACAGTATTCAAACTTAAAGTCCATAAAACAATACTAATTTGGAGCAGAGCAAACAGGGACCAAATGAAGATCAATAGAATCGGGATCGGGTGCCATGGGGAATAAGAATCCCCTGTCGACCGGTCACATCCGCCGTATGCTTCTTGTAATCAAAGAACAAAAGGAACATCATAATGTCGTAACATTTCTTCCGTGTGGCGATAGAGAAAACCAAACTCTATAGTTATCTGATTATTGTCCCCCGCTTAAAAAGTAGGGGATATTAATTTGGGTCTGTCCGTCCGTCTGTCTAGCTGTCTGTCCGTCCGTCCGTACTTCATTCTGTCTGTCTGTAACGCTTTCGTTTCCACACGATATCTCGATAACCCTTTCAGCTTTTGCAATGAAATTTTGCATAGCAACTCCCTATGGACTAGGGAAGAATCCTATTGATTTTGAGATCAAAAGGTCAAGGTCATAAATTCGCAAATTCGGTCTGTTATAACACTTTTGTTTCCGCGCGATATCTCGAGAACCCTTTGAGCTTTTGCAATGAATTTTACATAACAACTCCCTGTGGCCTAAGGAAGACCCCTATTGATTTTGAGGTCAAAAGGTCAAAGTTCAAGGTCGTAAATTTATACATTCTGTCTGTATGAAACACTATAATCCTTTCCGGGCGATATTTCAAGAAGATTTTGAGCTTTTGCAATGTAATTTTATACCAAAACTCCCTAGGACCTCTCTTACTCCTCTCAAAGTGTCCCGTCCCGTTTGTATTGTATTACATGTCGCTATTTTTAGCACTGGGGCATGAGAAGAGTTATTACGTATAAAACAGGTTCTCGGTGGACTTTATATTCTTATTACATCTATTAGAAATGTTTAATAAAGGTTAAATATTAGACACCATTCATTGTGTAAAATTTTGACAATATCGAACGTGAATATATACGAGGGTTGTCCCATAAAAACGTGGACAAAGCGTTTTTCTCGAAAAGTAATGGGCGCACTAAACTGAAATTTTCAGTAAATGTTTATTCATCATATTTAAGTGAATCATAATGTTTTTGATAATATATATTCAAAAATAAAGATTTTCTTCTGCTTGAATGTGCACAAGGTACGGTCCTACGGCGCACGGTAAAAATAGCAAGGTTATATTAGACAAGACATAAGAATTAATTCGTAATAAAAGTTTTCAATACATAAGATTAGGATGAAAATTATCTTAATTCCATTCCTTAATCAATTCTGTCGTCTTTTTAAAAATTTCAAGGCATTTGGTTGATTTTTAGCAGTTTCCCGAGCATTTGAAATGGGAAACTAATAAACACAATGCACGAAAAATGGCGAGTTTTTATGACGTTACGGCGCACCGGAGAGCAGTTCAGATAGATTAGGATGTGGTAATGACGCCTTAAGAGACTTTAAATGAATACAGAAGAAAGAAAATATGAAAAATATCCCCAGATCTTTAGTATATAAATGAAATGAAAGTTTTCTTAGTGAAGTCTTCGTGGTCGAGTCCCCAGATAGTACAAAACATATGGACAGACTGCCATTTGTAATAGCAAAGGAAGCTGTCACTGTCGACCGTCGATGTGAGATTCTCTTTTAGTTGAATGATGGTGAGAATACTGTCTGTAACTTGCTAATAAATATTCAGAAGATCGCATGAGTGTGCCACATTGGTTTCTTAACTGGTTATAGATACTCACATATGTAAATCAATAAAATTTCTAAATTTAAGTGGGCCTTATCCAACTTTAAGTTTAGCAAAGATGAAACGTGACGCTGTTTTAGACACTTTGACGTTATCATCCGTGCGCCGTAGGTCGATACAGTACATAACATAAAATATCACAATTTGTTTACCTATGCATATATCTATTTGAAATTTGCTATGTATATTCATAATTTATCTACTAAAAAGTGGTGAAAATTTCAGAACGCAGTGATGATTATTTTTCAAAATAGACAACTTGTCCACGATTTTACGGGACAACCCTCGTACATGTATGTGACTTCATGTTTGCATATAATTTGTGCCAGTGTAAAGCAATTCCGTGGTCTGATGGTATGTCTCTCGCTTCACATGTGAGAGGGCACCGGGTTCGCATCCCGGACGATCCAATTTATTTTTTTTTTTTTTCGAAATACTTTTTTTTTACTAAATGATAGTATTCAGCATGTGAAATGAAAATTTTATGAGGTCTGGCTTGTACAAACTCATAAAAACATCATTACAGTGTGATAAATATTCCATATAAAAAGAATCTTCTATACACATAAAAAAGAATAAGCAATCAAATCTTTATATCCATATTGGCATATTTTATTTGCTTAAGTATACATGTATACATTTAATGATTCTACAAATTCAGTCAGGGGGATCCGACTTTTTCCCTATGCGGGGGACACGAATTCTATGAATTAGCTTGTTTTAATAAGTATTAAATATAACTGAATGGAATTCTAAGGCAAAAGTTAAAATAGATTTTTGACATTAGCTTGTATAAAATGGTTGACAACATGCGATCATGTAAGATTCTAAAACATTTGTGACATTACTTTAGAATAATTTTGCTAGATTGATTGCATTTGTGCAAAGTGTAGATGTATATCATTAAAAGAAGAATATTTATGTTTGTTAATTAAAGACAAACTTAAAAAAAACACAAAAGTATCATTCTGCAAATCTTAAACACACAATCAAATACGCAAGAAAATAATTATTAAGAAATAAAAAAAAAAATGGAGGAAACAAACTTTTTAAAAGCATAGTTCTATCTTTTAAAATAATACGTATATAAATGTAGTATTATTTGTAAAAGTTTTATCACAATTTGCAGAAAATTTCAAAGTTTTCTTTGCAATACTAGATGTACTATATGTATTGTTTTGCACATAAAAATGTTTCCCTATCCAAGTAAGAAAAGTGGTAAGGACTTAATAAAATGACTGCGTTAAAATGTGGGGACCGGTCTTTCGGATGAAACCGTATAAACCGAAGTCTTGTTGGAGAAGGTCCTGTCACAAAAAAATCGTCATACGTGCAATGGTCAGATCTCAAGTTTCATCCTTCCACCGGCGATTGCTGGAGTTCCAATATGTCTGAAAAATTCTCAAAGTGATCAAAACAAAACAAACAAAGTTTCATCTCTGAAACTGAGACATATAGTACTTGTCATGGTCACGATGAATAAAAATGGACTTAATCTTATCGGAGAAAACGTCATGGGTCCAGCCTAGGAAGGCAAACACTGGGATAACACGAATGGATTTGTTTTAAATTTGGCTTTTAAATAATTAATTTAACCTGATACCATTCTGTAAGAATCAGCACAAATGCATTGCGTCACCATTCCGGCTATCTAGGAAGCCGTCTGCACCTGTATATAAGGGACGGTGCAACACCGGGCCGATAACACAAACCTAGACATCCTAGCCTTCAATCACGGAAAAGTTTGTGTTCGCAAAAATGAATAGGATATTTCTATTTGCCATTTTATGCGTTGCAATAGTCGCTTCAGAGAAACTCCAAGGAGTTCGAAGGACTGTGCACATCACAAAAAGACAAGCAGGTAGGGTATTGTTTTTTAAATAACTGTTCAGTTTAGTTATTCAAGTTTATCTGTTTTTTATGCTTAACAATTTTTTTTTATTTGGGGTGATTGCATTATTTTTATTTACAACTTGTGACTAAATTAGAAACATTTAACACTATGTATTGGAATCCAGCAAAACGGGTCAGATTATATTGGGATTTTGCAGTATGTTTTAGCAACAACCGTGCTGAAACAATCAGTCCTCAATTTGAGATATGTTTTTTTTCATGTTTATGTTAGACACTTGTGTACGAGTTTAAGTACCTGTTTAACAATACTCTTAACTTGGACATATTTTAAACCAATGGTAATGTACATGTATAATGTCGCTTGCGTGGCGCAGTGGTTAGAGCATCTCTTCTAGAGTCGCAAAGTAAGGAGTCAATCCTTACGTTTCGGGTTCGAATCCCATTGTTGAACGTGGAGACCGGTCGTTCAAATGAGACAGCATAAACCGACGCAGAGGTCCCGTGTCGCAGTAGGAGTTAGCACGAACAAGATCTTTCACTGCTCAATGGCCCTGAGTGCCAAGTATAGGACATTATTTGCAGCTCTCCACCAGCAAATGGTAGAGTCCAAATATGAGTGAAATATTCTCGAGAAGAACGTTAAAAACAAACAAAATTCATGCATACATTTTGAAAATAGAGTTTTATCTTGATCATTTGCGTGGGCGTTATGATATTTTTCCAGACAAATAATTGAAAGTTGACTCAATTAATTTGGATGTATATTTCTTGATTTAGCATGATATTCCTATAGAAATTGGCATGGCATATAATGTTCAATTTATTATTCATATAAATCATATTTTGAAGTTAACAGGTAATCTTGAAGAAGAAATATAAATTTTAAGGGCAGGTGAATAAAATATGAAGATAACGAACATGCAGAGCAATCATGGACCTCTAAAACATAGCTTGGATCAGGTACCATGGAACAGAAAACACCCCTAACCGCCTAATACACCATTTCATGGTCGGCCCAACGGGAATATTCGCAGACAACTCAGTCTAAAAATAATGTCCTTCCTAACAATTTGTATGAAAAATATTAGTCAACATTCGACGTAACCATTGATTATACCTACTAAATAGGCCATTGTATTGACCACATTAGGATGCAAAATGTTGACTTTAACGAGAATGTTTAAATTCATGTCACATTGAATTGTTTGTCAATAGCATGTCTTATTTTAAATATTGTTCTTACATAGAGTATGCTCTTACATATCGAATCAACTGAAAACAATAAACCCCATGTGCCATGTGTTAAGAGTATACTCTTATATAAATACAATGGTTTTCGTTGGGTGAAAATTTTCAATGTTACACTCAACTACATGCAATATTTATTACAGTGAAAACTGTCTAATCCGACACCTGAATAATCCGACACACTGTGAATTCCGACTTGAAATTTCTCTCCCATTTTACTATTTTAAATGTTTTTTACACTGTGCAATCCGACACCCTGTCTATTCCGACATAAAATTTGACTCCCAGTGCATGTCGGATTAGACAGGTTTCACTGTATATTATACTGTATGTTTCATACAAATACATATGACAGTGAACCGTGCGCACATAAATTCTGCACAGTTTTTTTTTTTTGGAATATCACCCGTCGTCAAGCAATGTTGACTGTTGCTACGCTGGAGGGCGTGGCTTCATTATTCAGCGGGTAATAGTGTTTTTTAACAAATGTTTCTCGACCAATCAAATTCAACTAACTTACATGAAAGTATAATATTACATATTAGGGAAGTTGATGATAGAAAAATTAGTTCTGTTGTTAGTTTGTCATTAAAGTCTTTATCTGGTTAATGTTCAAATATGGAACATATATTTCAGATTCTGTTGTGTCTTTCATCATACTTCAGAGGGATATATCAAGTTAATGAATATTGCTAATTGATAAATTGTGGCGGTTATATCATTGTCAAAATGAAGGCCACAACAAGAGAGTTCTTCATTTTTGAATAAATTCTGCTTCATACGTATGGATGCAAACGCAGGTTTCCTTATAACAGGACGCAATTGTCGCTTTTGTTTTGACCTGCTTGCTTCGTACATGAAAACCCCATGACACCAGAACATGTAGAATAGATAACCCGTCACGAACGACAAAAACAAAACTCACCTTGGAATAAACCAGTCCCAGTCAATCCCAGTCTTCCGAAAATAGCAAAAGGAGATAACAGGCTTATGTAATGGAGGAGGTTCAACTTACCGTATGTTTATCCGTAAAAGGTCAAACATTGTGAGTGCAAATGCCATAGGGGAAGATAGGAAGTTGTGTCCTGAACTCAAAATTCCTTTTAGACAATATTATTAGACAACAGTGCATTGAAATGAGGAAATAAAATCACTAATCACAAAACGGAATGTTCGGAAATTCTTTTTAAAATTTTCCTGAATTTTAATTCGCCGAAGAAAAATACTCAAGATCACTAAATTTTCGCGATACTTAATTTTTGCGAGGTAGACATTAACTCTTTATACAAAAGTTTCACGAATTGTAGACTAAGTTACTAGTCTGTGTTATCTTGAGGAATACTAATATACGTGAGAATGATATTTTCGCGAGCACACTGTCTCGCGCTATAACGCGAAATGAAGTTCTCGCGAATAAAAACTGATTTAAACTATTTATCTTACCTTTGTCTTGGTAGGTGGAGGATGTCTATATGAGGGTACCGTCCATCGACAGGGGGAGACCTGGCAGGTACCCTGTAAATACAACTGTGTCTGCAAAGACGGAACAAGCGGACAATACAGCTGTACAGAAATGTAGGTTTTATAATGATAATATTTTGTCTATTTTGTAAATTGCCATATATTTCAATTATATGAGTAATATACATACCCCGGTATAACTTAATAATGTAATCTATGATCAGACAGTTTAAAAATATAAGAAAACTTTTTAATTTATTCATACTTTTTTGGCCAATCACAGCTGTCCTCATTATGATACACTCCCTGATGGATGTTACATGGCACAGGATCCATCAAACAGTTGTTGTCAAAAGCCACAGTGTAACTTCCAGCCCTCTGGTGGTAGCGGCGGAGGAAGTGGAACTGTACTAACAGGAAGTTCTGGTGGTGGAACAGGAAGTTCCGGTGGTGGTACGAATCTTAAGTTATTGAAATTCGTCAAATTACAAAACGTATCTTTCATTTTTCTAAAAAAAAAAAAAAAAAAAAGAATCAATTATCTTGGCAACTGCGTTCCAGATTTTATAATATGATCATACTTTTAATTTAGGTGATTCGACTGTACATACTAGGAGTACAAAATAGTGTGAATTTTCTCAGACACACAATGTCGCCTACAAAATACTAATAAACCAATGGATTAAAATTTTAACTTTTTTGCACATCTCTTTACAGATAAATAATCTACTTCACTACCTAAGTTCATTTTGAAATTCTGTTAATTTCGAAATCAATTCCAAAATGCACCTTATGATCGCACACTAGATACTTTTTATACCCTCAGTATTTTGAGTTAAACAATCAGAAATCCCAGGAATTACTTTTAAACTATCTAAATTGCCTTTTTAACTCTCTAAAATCAGTAAATATTTAATACTGAAGACAATCTAATGTGATCGAAATTTGATAGACAAAGATTTTTATTTGACCCATGTAATGACTCAGTACAATCATGATGTTAAAGCTTGGATATAATCGATGAAATGATAAATAAGACATTTACAATAACAAACAAATCTTGTTTCACTATTAAAAATCTTGGATATGACACCAACTTTGATGTGAAGGTGTCAGATTGCATGCCTTACAATATTTTTACAAAAACAAAAATTAATCTGCATTGCTGAAACTCAAAAAGTCAATATAAAACTTTTTAAGCATACTCTTGAGTTTGGCATTTAAGTATAATACATACATGTATGTAATTAAATTGTACAAGTTTAATTGTCAAAACATTTATTTATATTTGTTATTCAAATTTGGAAAAAGTTAACAACAATTTCATTTGAATCAATAAAATCTATCTTAACTCTTGGAGGATTTTCATTCTTTTGACAGGACAACACGTGCAAATGGGCGGTGGTAGTTCGCACTCCGGATCTTTTATGAGTGGTAAGGCAGTGTTTATTTCTTATTAAATATCCAAAAATAGAAAACAACTATTTCAATAATTTAAAAAATCTTTATTTAGGAGGATCTTGTCATGACGCAATTAACAACTGTGCTAATTACGGAAAGGCCGTGTGTTCTGATGCCAGTTACTCCCAATGGGTCAAACAGAACTGTGCTCTCTACTGTAATATGTGTGGAGGTATGTTTTAATACTTTATGTCTTAATTATAAGTAACAAAAATAATGCTTGAACATGTAAATACAAAGTGCCTAGAAAGGCTAAGGCATTTATTTTGTATTCAAACACTGATTTAATATATCATCTGTATTACCTTGCTTTGCAAGTGATGTTATATTCATTAATATATTTCGAATATAAGACTAATTTTGAACAAGATCTTGTGCAAGTTCCTAAGATTCTTTTTTTTTATATATATATATATATAGGAACAAGTTCTAGTAGTGGTGGTGGAGATGGTGGATTCAGCCTGCACTTTGGTGTGTACATAAAATTAAATTTATTATATTCCACTCTCATTACATGATCATGTACTATTGATATTCTTTCTTGATAATGTTCGATTGTTTAGACTTGCTATTTATATATATTTACTTTCTAGAAGGATAAGAATAGCTTCTACTTGTATGTAGGTGAATGTTCTTGCAGGTTTTATAAATGCAACAATTATTTTCATGTAGTTAATCAATATCATTATGGGGGGAGGGGAGGAGGAATCCTGTAGTTTAAGGTCCGATTCACAAAATTAAAACCTGCATTTTAACTTTCCTTTTGTTTCTGTTTTAAGGGATATATTTTCATTGGTTTGTTATAAGTGACCTTGACCTTTTAGGATCGGTTATCTTTTACCAATATCATCACATACTAAGAAAACTTTTCTCTTAATTTTGAAAGTTGTAAAAGTATTGATATGAAGTGATGTAGCATCTTACAATAAATTAATTTTACAGGTACAGGCACAAGTGGATCGGGTAAGGATGATATTTTATTTCATATTTGGACTCCATAAAGGCGTCATTTAAGAAGACATTATTGCCTCAATGTAGAATTTTAATATTGAGAAATATATTAAGTTATTAGTTTAGGTACTTGTAATATGCTTAAATCAAAATTTAGTAAACGTATACGATAACTTTAGATATCAGAAGGAACGATAATCAAACCCTGAATGAAAAAAGTTAAATGTACTTTTTAAAAAATATTTATTCGAAAATTTAATTTGTAATAGATCTATAGCATGCCTTAATTTTCCTAGCTGGAATAATTAACCGAAAATAAGGATTGTAATCAACTTCAATAAAAATACCAGTATTTGTTATTATTATTATTATTATTTTTTTTTTTTTTACCTTTTTTGTAATTTCAGGTGGAACAGGAGCAATGACAGGTACACAGAGTTAAACTTTTAAAAAACAGAACATTCAGTTGAATAATTCATTTTAAATTTTTAAACGTATAACTGGCATATTTTATATTTTGGGTAGGCTCTTGTACTGATGCTATTAATAATTGTGCCAATTACGGAACTGCTGTCTGTACTGACAATGTTTATTCGAAAATTTAATTTCTTATAGGTAACATGTCTTTTCCTAGTTGGAATAATTATCCAAAAATAAGGATTGTAATCAATTTCAATAAAAATACCAGTATTTATTTTTTTTTCTTCTTTTACCTTTTTTGTAATTTCAGGTGGATCAGGAACGATGACTGGACCAGGAACAATGACAGGTACACAGAGTTAAACTTTTAAAAAATAGAACATCCAGATAAATAATTCATTTTAAATTTTAAAACATATAACTATATAACTAACATATTTTAATTTTTTTGGTAGGCTCTTGTACTGATGCTATTAATAACTGTGCCAGTTACGGAACTGCTGTCTGTACTGACCAACAATACAGCGCCTGGGTGTCAAAGAACTGTGCTAAATTCTGCAACAAGTGTAAGTGTGTCTAAAGAGTCAAAATTTATTATGCAAACTTTAGCAATAAGGGAACGTTTGATTTGTAAGATATAACTTCCTGAGTCTAGTTACATTTCTTTTTATGACAAGTTTGTGTGTTCTAAAAGGTAAAATTTCCAAGTAATGTGTTACAAATCTGCAAATAGAGTAAAATTGTTCATTTTAATTCATTTTCATTTTTCAACTGACGGAAAAATATTGATTGCTTGACAACACACTTCACAAAAACCAAAAAAATAGTTTAAATACCAGTAAAGGTATAGGGGTAACCGATACCATGATTGGAATGTTTAATATTATTTTATTTGATAAAAAGAAAAGGAATTCAAAATTTCATTTAAGATTCTATTCGAATCATTATACAGTAAAATTTGTCTAAACCGGACTTTAAGTACTCCAGATTTTTGTCCATTCCATCTATAAATTTTAATGAACTAACAAATTCATTATTCTGTGTAGTCCGGATATCGTCTATTCTGTATTTCGAACGGTCATACTGGTCCCATCTACTCATAATTAACGGTAATTATTTCCTCTAATCCGGCCACACATAATAACCTGAGTAACTTCAAAGCAATTTACACCTTTCGTGGTGGATGTGATGATCCGTGTTTACATTAACATGATAAGTGCCATGAGACGAACTCATTGAAATGTGGCGGTGACACAGCCCACTTGAAAAAATTATAAGGCCTGTACGATTGAATTACAATTTGGTATAACTCCTTTACCACATTATTACATAAATACAAAAAATAGATGTACGCAATTTACAAATCAAAATATAAATCGGGATCGAAAATCGAACGCATTTCAAAATGGCGCCATAACACTGTGGGGGAAGACGTAATTTTTCACATAAAAATTAAAAAATCAATCCAATAATTAGGACATCGTAAATAATTATGCATTACTATTTATACATTGAATGAGCTCTTTGACAAGCGAAACCCGGTCCACTTGACATATAGTAGTCATGCGATAATATTTTATAATTTCTAGACCCCAAAATATTGATTGATTTCATCATTTAATTGCCTATTTATATTATGTATATGATGTACTTGTAAATAAACTACGAAATTTCAAAATTAATATTTTCTTGCATATTTCCTCTATTCCGGATTCTGTCTAAATCGGCCAAATTTTATGGAACCGGTGGTAGCCGGTTTGGACAAATTATACTGTAAATCTAATAATAATAATAATTTGCAGTTACAAAAAAACATGCAATCATCATTCCAATGTAGACCATTTTTCTCTTTAATATGCTTTTGTTTACCCCTAACCAATCCCCCAAAAAATAGATTCCAAAAGATTATTTTCCTGGTTTATAAATCTACATGTATACCGGAAATAATTTTTTTTTCTAAATTAATTTTTGCATCCTTTTCATATTTTTAGGTGGAATGACAGGTATGAAAATCAAGATTATCTTATGAGATAGATTTTATAAAGAATTATAAACTGGGCAAATTTATTAAATTACCTGAGCTTAAAATTTTTTATCTTAGATCTTTTAAAATACTTTTTAAAAAAGAAATATGACAAGTGCGTTTTTTGAGTGCTACTTTTATTTTGATAGTTAATAATATTATTTCAATGAATATTTTAATAGCGATATTTGAAGGTGAACTGGAAAAATTAAGTTTTTTTTTCAAACAAAAAATGACCGTCACAAATTTTATGTTTGATTTTCAGGTACAATGACTGGAACAGGTAAATAAAAAAAAAAATTCGGTATAGAGATTGTGCACTAACTTTAGTTTTCATGGAACATTTAAAAAAAATATCTTTTAAAAACTGCTTTTAGGGTAAATGCATAACAAACTTAAAAAAAAAATTAAAAACCTTATTAGAAGATCTAAGTAATTTGTTTACCTACTGTATCTCTCAGACGTAGTCAAACAAAATGACCGTCACATATTTTTTGTTTGATTTTCAGGTGGAACTATGACTGGAACAGGTAATTTCTTTTTTAATTTATTCCGTCTAATGATGTATAATAACTTTAGTCACCATGAAACATAAAAAAAAACAATATTTTTAATAATACTTTTAGGGAAAGTGTATCCCAAAGTTTAGAAAAAAAACCTATCTTATCAGAAGATCTGAGAAATTTGCACAATTCACCATCAGACCTATTTATTTATTTAAAAAATGACCATCACAAGTGAAGTCTTTTTTCTTTAAATTTATTCGGTCTAAGTTTTAAAGTAAAAGTCTTTTTCATCCCAAAAGCAATATAAAAATTGTTTTGTGAAACAGAAAAAAAAACTTATACTATGTAGTTGTTTAAGTTGAATTTTGAAGCTGTTTTCAAAATATTATTGATCGAATTTTTAAGCTTTAAAACTCTTTCATGCAGAAAACCCTATTAATTATGACTAATAAACGTCTGGAGATGCTCAGTAAAGGTTTAAATTTAAAGGTTTATTTGTAACATTAGGTACATGTATATGTATATCTTCTTACTCTTTCGGTAATATTTCAAGAAGGGGGATATTGTAAAATGTACATAAGGTTGTTTTGAATTTTGTAAGATTTCTACATTTACTTTAATTTGAGTAATAGATTCATGACGATTATTAATTAAAAACTTTAATTTAACAATAAATGCTTTTATGTTTATAATTTAGGTGGAACAATGACTGGTACAGGTAATTTCTCTCAAACTTATCTTTCCTTTTCAAAAAATAAACATTCATGTTTTCTGAAACTCATGTCTTGTAAGCAAGTTTTCAGGTTATATTTTTCAAAATGCATATGTCTCTTCTCTGGTTTTTATGAACTTTAAACAGTTTTTACCAAAATCGGTGTTGGGTAAATAAGTCGAATTTAAGACCCGTATTGGATACGTTTAGGCAACATTTCAAGACCATGAAGACAGGGATATAATAAAACTACGCTTGAGATTCGGATAAAATTTATAGTCTTCTACTTTTGTCTTCTCCCAGACAAGCTAAAATGATAACTAAGGTGAATGACAAACCTTTACCAAAAACTCTTACACAGGACAAATTTTTATCTTAAAATATAATCTGCATAAATTGATAAAACCGTTTAGGATTTTTTTTTAAGATATTCTTTGTTTAAATGTATCAAAACTGAGAAAATATTCCTCACCATTTCTAAATGAATATTTAATTCACTTTTTAAGAATTTAATATTCAGGTGGTACAATGACTGGAATTAGTGATTTTAAAAAAAAAAAAAAAAAAAAAAAAAAAAACTTTTACACACATTAAAAAAATTGGTTTCGTTAATTTGATGGAGTTTGAATTTTTTTAAAAAACAAAATGGAATAAAAAATTTTAGAAGTTCAATATTGAATTTGAAAAAAATGCCTTTTCATTAACACACTAAAGAACTAAAGATAAAAGCTTTAGCTTACCATGCTTGTTAGCGATTAATTTAACTTAATTCATTAATTTTCATCGGGATTTATTTTCATTGTTTAGGAGACACTCACCGAGTTTTTTTCATGAAGACGAAAAGATATTGTTTCCTCTTGAATAGCGAAATCAAAAACTCCCCAACTAGTGCTTTTATCTAAGTACAAAAATTTGGCCTACGAAAATAGATGATTTTACACTTTTCATTTCTTTATTGAGTTCATTTTGCGTTTTACTCGACTATTATCACTGTACATTTTCTCAATTAAAAGAAAAACCGTAATCTTTATATGGCGTTACTCGAAATTATCAGCATTTTCATATGATTTAGGTTCAGCATTACATATACCTAATCAAATAATGAGATTGAAATAATTATTCATCCTTAAAACTTTGTCCAGTTTACTCGTTGTTTATACTGAATGGTGCTTTGTGCCCATTTTTTCACTAAGCTAAAACAAGAATAGAACTTTCTCTAAAATAAAAACAAGATTAACTTAAACTTCTTACAGAAAATAACATTTCATCAATATCGCACCCACAGCTTTTGGCGTTGTGTATCAAGGCTTGTTTTTTCGGTGGTCTTTATGTTTGCTTTGCTTGCTTTAATTTTGCAACAGGATCATGTGTTGACAAATTGAATTGCGCATCAATGGGGTCAGCTATTTGCACCAATTCTGCCTATGCCGCTTTTGCACGTGAACAATGTCCCCAGTACTGTCATATGTGTTCATCAGGTAGGGACATTGAACATATTTTAAATAACAATGACTGATTGTTTTCAAGCATGCAATCAACAATAATCAAATAAATTCTTTTAAAACCTTTCCTTTCTGTTTTCAATTTGCTTGCATCTGATATCTCAACGTGTATACACTTTTTAATCTAAAGACGTCGTCATAAATGTTGCAATGCTTTGTTGTATATTTTTTTTTATTAAAATATACATTAAATGACCATTCCTGAAATATACGTATTGCATTATGATCAATCCGTTACTATCTTTACAGCTACTAGTACTATTCTCATAACTTATTTGCCTTTTCCATCCATCGTACATTTGCAACAATTTGCTTTGCTTTTGGTCTTTATAAATTAACAACTAATTTGTGAATACTTCTTACATACATGCATTATATTGTAGAGATGTTTGTCTGCCAACTGTTTTGCTTGATTCCTATTTTTATCTGGCGGATTCACAGCGTTTTTCGTCATTTATTATTTTTTGTACAATCCTTCAAAAGAATTGAATTTAACATGGGTATTTTTTGCACATTTGAATTCTTTGTGCAACTGATGCAAGATCTTATTTTCATTCTTTATATAAAAATATGAACGAAATTCACCCTAAAATGATTATCATTCAAAAACACAATATTTACACAGGACATTATATTATTTTCATTTAATATTTAGGTGGAACAATGACTGGCACAGGAACAGGTAATTTTGCAATTTTTTCTATTGAATTTTTTTTTAAGTCTGTCCTCCAATCAATATCTATTACATGGATTGTAGTCATTATTATAATTTAAGTATCATTTCCTATGTTTGATATCCAGGTGTACCTATGACGGGTACTGGAACAGGTAATCCTTATGCTGGCTTTTCTTCCCAGGCTTCTTTTTTCTTTTTAAGCTAAAATCCTTCGGAAAACCGAGACACTCATTACCTACAGACCGAACTAGTAGTATTTATAATGTTTAACACAAAATTTAGAACCTTATCCTTTTTTCAAAATTAAGGTGGAACTATGACTGGTACAGGTAATTCTTATGCTGGTTTTTCTCTCAGGGCTTCTTTTCTTTTTATTGAGCTAAAATCTTACGGAAAATCGAGACACTCATTACCTACAAACCTAAATAGTAGTATTTATAATGTTTAAGACAAAATTTAAAACCCTATCTTTTTTTAAAATTAAGGTGTAACTATGACTGGTACAGGTAATTCTTATGCTGACTTTTCTCTCGAGACTTTTTTCTCTTTACTGAGCTAAAATCCTACGGAAAATCGAGACACCCATTACCCGAGTACCTAACTAGAAGTATTTTTAAAAGACAAAATTTAGAACTTTATCCTTTTTTAAATTAAGGTGGAACTATGACTTATTATTTGATACAGGATAGATTGGTTATCATTTTGTTAAGTAAAGGTTCGATAGAAAAAAATATGATTATGTAGATACGACCATCATTGGTTAGGATTGAAAAATAATGGTTATTGATTTAACATAAATAAGAGATAGCTTGCAGTGGATCATTATTAAAACAAGTATTTCTATAGTTTAATAATTGTTATTGAAAATTCAGGTTCTGGTGGAACAGGTATGTCGTAGCCTATGCCTTAACAAATGCTTGAAAAACTCCGAAACTCATTATCAATTCAAATTATAAATTTTATTAATGCTTTGTTAACATATGCATAAATTTAAATTTCCCGTGTTTCATCTAATATAAACATATATGTATAAATTATAAATAAATCCAACGGTTACAAAAGCTGCACGAATATAAAATGTCTTGGAAGAAAGAAAAAATAGAAATCCTACAATTTTTTGTCATCACTTCTTTCAGGCGGATATCCCGTTCCCGTGCTTCCAGGTAAACCCAAAATCGTCAAAATATCCCATCTTGACTTCAAAAGTCTGTTATATGCTAAAGTTCTGTTTAACAAAAATATTTTTCAAATTTGTCAGCACTATTGATTAGCATATATCTTGCTCACACATTACTTCGAAAGTGAAAACTGCTCTAAATGCCTCGAGATTTCTTAATGATTTAAGAGAGAAAATGGTCTTTTTCAAATGCTTTTCTGGTGATAAAACGCTTGCTTGTTAACATTTATAAAAAATCTGAGGAAAGCTTAACTACACGAACCATTATGAGAAATAAATCCAAACCGAAAATGCTTGTATAGCTTGATTATTGGAAGGGGAAATAGCTTTTATATAAATTGTTTTATTTGACAGTATTTTGAATGAGTAATATAACAAGGAAAATATTTTAAAGAAAGGAATAAATGAATTATTGTTTTACATTTTAAAAAAAATAATATTAAAAAAAATACAGATATCTCACATTTATCGTACAATGGTAAATCATTACTATAATTTTAGGTGGATCGATATTAGGAACAGGTATATCAATCGCTTCGAAATCGCTTAGACAATTAAGCTTTGATAGCAAATATGATATTCGAACGTTTCGTTGTGTGTTCCAAAAAAATATTGTGTCAAATATTTTTTTTGGGATTATTTCTCGATATGAAGTAAAGTGAAACTTTCAATTAAACCTTACCTTTAATTCTAAAACTCGATTTAAACTGATACAACTAGGTCCTATTTTCAGATAATGTGAATCATTTCATTTATTTGATTTTTTTTTTAGAATTTCCCCCAAAATAATCAAAACTCTTACCTTTGGAGTCTGTCAGCGATGTTTGCATGATGTGGTCGATTTTTAAACAACCAAATACACTTTATATATAGATGCCTTGTGACAAAACTGTTTGCAGGTGTACAAAGCAAAACAAAATTTTACTATGAATTTGATTAAAATTAAATTTAAGAAAATTGTTTTTGTGCTTAACGATTATAAACTTTATTAATTATTTTTTTTGACGAAATTGCATTTGGTTTGCTTGCTTTTCTTAAGTACTTTATAGTAATTTTTCGCTCCTTTCTTTGACCATTTCAGTATAATAACACTAATTTTAAATCTTAATCTGTTTCAATAACAAAACTCATTTACAGGAGGGTCGGGTGTATATACTGGAACAGGAGGGACTGGGGGTACAGGTAAACATAAGTGATACCTAAAGTTCTAATTCAAATTATCTAAAGTCTAATTCCTACACCTGATTAAAAATTAAAACAAATAAAATTCTGCAATAAACCTTTAATACTGCATTTTAGATGGAAGTGGAACAGGTATATTTTGCAATTATCGCTTGGAAAATGCTTGAGGGATTTTTTTAACCGTATTCTTTTAGCTATTAAGTCTGTTTCGTTTTTGCATAAACTATGCAAATTTCAAAACTTTCTTACATGTGACGTCACAGCGGAAGTGACGCCTTTTAAAAAAATCAACTTAAATCCAACTTTAAAAAGTGTCCAGTTGTGAAATTTTTAATTCATAAATGTTAAAAATTATATATTAAGTATATTTTATAACCATTTCCAGTAATATAAACAAAGTATCAAAAGATATGAATAAAGAATTTTATTTCATTTTGTTAAAAATGGTCCCATTACTGTTTTCAGGCGGTTTTGTTGTTCCTGGTGGATCAGGTAAATCAGAACCATCAAACGAACCTTATTTCAAAAATATCTCAAAACTTTCACAAAAACTTGCTGATTCTTTAAAAATAAATCTTGTACAAAGGATTAAGATTACGTTTCGAGATATCTAATTTGTGGAGCTATTTTATGACCTTTTTCACTAAAATTTAATTATTCTAATTTATAATTCATTCAATAACAAAACTCATTTTCATTAGGATCGGGTGTATATACTGGAACAGGAGGGACAGGGGGTACAGGTAAAAATAAGAAAAACCCAAATCTCTGTCTTAAATTATCTAAAGTTTAATTACTACACCGAATTTTCCTGATTAAAGAAATTTATTTCTGCAAAGAGCTTATTATTCAAAACTGTATTTTTAGATGGAAGTGGAACAGGTATATTTTGCAGTTATCGCCTGGCAAATGCTTGAGGAATTTTTTTACCGTATATATTAAGTCTGTTTCGTTTTTATGCAAAATATACAAATTCCTAAAATTTATTACATGTGACGTCACAGCGGAAGTGACGCTTTTATGAAATCAAGTTCAAAAGATTTACAAATGTGAAATTTTTAATTCATAAATTTTGAATTTATATATTAAATATATTTTATGACCATTTCCAGAAATAAAAACAAAGTATCGAAAGATATGAATAAAGAATTTTATTTCATTTTGTTAAAAATGGTCCCATTACTGTTTTCAGGCGGTTTTGTTGTTCCTAGTGGATCAGGTAAATCAAAACCGTCAAACGAACCTTATTTCAAAAATATCTCAAAACTTTCAAAAACTTGCCGATTTTTTAAATAAAACTTATACAAAGGATTAAGATTATTTTTCAATATATACAATTTTTGTAGCTATTTTATGACCTTTTTGATCATGATATAATTATTCTGAATTTATAATTTATTCAGTAACAAAACTCAATTTCATTAGGGTCGGGAGTGTATACTGGACCAGGAGTTACAGGGGGTACAGGTAAATAAGAAATACCTAAACCTCTATTTTTTAAATTGTCAAAAATCTCATTCTTACTTTAACCGAAAAAATGTTTGAATTCTAGTTCATAGGTGTAGGGGAAAATGAATTAAAAATAATTTGATTAACCTTTCAAATTTTTCTGTAAATTAAGTAGAAAAATCCAAAAGCAAAAAATATAAATTTTATAAGAATACTTAAATTTTTAACTTAATTTTAGGTGGAACTGGAACAGGTTTCTATAAGCATATTATTATCGCTTGGGCAAAGCTTGATTTTAGTTAAATACGATAAGGCAGTTATGCTTTTGTGTAAAATATACAGATTTTGGCCTTACTCAAGTTGTTATTTTTGAAATACTTCTCTGTCTTGCATGAGTAGTCTTATGGATAAGTTTACGTGATTGAAAGTGCTGATTTAGATGATTTAGTTGTCAAATATCTTAAGAGATACTTTCATATGAACTTTCATTTAAATTTTATTTTAAATAAACATTACTAAAAATAACAAAAACTAAAATTGATAACTTTTGCATTTTGCATTCTTTCCTGCTTGGTCAAAATACTCGAATTCATTTTCATTAAACTAATCCCTATCATCCAACTACTCCACCACACTCCAAAAATCCCGCTTCAAGCTTTTAAATATTTAGTTGAAATTTTCATAACCGATTGAATCGATTGTTCATTTTTTTGCAAAGGAAAGATTTTATGCAGGTTGTACTGTTATTTCTTGGGGGATCAAGTAAATCTAAAAGCAACTCAAATCCACCACCATCCCCTTATCTTTACCAACACATATTAGAATTCTTTTCGTTGGACTTCTCGGATTCATTTCGGTAACAGAGTCTGTGTTTGAACGTTGCCTGGGTAGTAGGTTCTGCTTAAATTAGAAAACATGAGCAATTGATTCGTCAATATTCAGTAATGAGTATATGAGTTTCTTCCTTTGGAGGAGATAAACCTTTTTTCTAGAGGTTTTTTATAGAGTCAGAAGTGTGTGTTTTATTGTATTATTTGATTGCTTTACCTCACATAGGCCTTTGCACTTTATATTATTTACTGCTTATTCCGCAAATATACAACAAATATAAAATAAATCATGAGGCCAACATTATCAGCCTAAAAAAGGATAAGAGCTTTGCTACATTTTCAACGAAAAAAAGATGAAGGTGCAATACCAATACCATTGGTGCAAACGCACAGCTTTCAACACTTCTTTGGGACGGTTGAGGAAAGTGCAAGAGTGGATGTTTTTCTCTAAATTTTGTCTTACCAAAAATGTAGCAAAATGCAAAAATGTACATTTTTAAAATGAATAATTCATATTCTTATTTCTTTCAGGAGGAACAATGACCGGAGGAACAGGTACGACATGAATTAACTTGGTTGTTAAATCGACGCCATAAATTAGCTTATTTAATAAGATCACTTAATTTAGTTAAAAAAAATAAAGAATTAACTTCATAAAATTCAGAACATGGACGCTTTGAAATTATATGTGATATAATTGGTACAAAATTTGCATATAGTTCAACTTATTAATTTTGTGTATTCCTTTCACTAGGAACCATGACTGGGGGAACAGGTAAGAAGATAATGACGTCACTTAATTAATTAATTAATCAAAATAATAAGTTTGTATAATGAATATGTTCACATAATTTAGTATAAAACCCATAGCCATGGGAGATGGCATATGAAATAAAGAATTAAATAAAAAAAATAATAGCATTTTACAGATTTTAAAATCAGGTTGTTTTAAACTTGCATGTTATATGAATGGTTAAGGTACTGATATTCTCCACTTGTTAAACTTGTTAAATATTGTTTACTCCTTTCATTAGGAACCATGACCGGTAAGAATTAAATCCTCTTATTCCCTATGTCAAGAACTATGCTTCTCGCTGGATTGAGAAGCCATATTAACAAATTCGCACAAAATTGAATTCTTGTTAAACAAGAGTTATTCCGCTGCTTCTTTGGCAATTTTCTCTGCAAATTTCCCTTCTTATGGTTTGCACACTGCTTCAAAATCAGCCATTCCTTACGCATTGAGTTACGCTTTGCTCATATTTTATGAAATAACTTTCTTATGATATACAATCGATATGTTTTGTTATAAATGATTTTTGTATGTAAACTTGACTTTTTTTCAAAATTTTTCCAATATACTCAGATCAGTATGGAAAAAATATTCATTTCGATAGAAGACCTGCATACATTTTGTTAAATTGTCCCAAATATTGATAAGAATAACCAGTAGCAATGAGAGCGGATTGAAAAGAAATACATGTACTGTAAAATCATATATTTATGTGGGGTCAACTCCTGGTTCGTAGGGATTTGATTTCGTAAATTAAAATGTTTAGTAGTTATGTTTGTAACATTTTACATTTCGTGGTGCACAATAATTCGTGGGTCTCTTCATACCTCAAAGACAACGAAAATTAAACTCCATGAAATGTTTTTGATTTCACAGTAATGAAAGGAAGTGGTCATTCGAAATTACTAGTATTCTTCTTAAATTCCTGAACATTTGGCCACAGTAATGGCAACTTTCAAGATCTACTTTTCGGACCTATATTGTCAAAAGTAAACTAATTTGTTACTCTGTACATTTTTATTGACTGAACAAAATTTGAAGAAAATTAAACAAATAATTTGCCAAACAGATTCATTTCTTAGTAAGAAACTCTTTCTCTAATCACCTAGATAATTTTACATGCTTAATTTTATATTTCCATTCAAAGTTCAAAGCAAGAAATTATTGTTGCTTTTTTATTTTTCTTGCTTGAAAAGCTTCTTCACATGTTTGTGTTTCTTTTGTTCGTTGCATTGTTGTTGCCTTGCTTATACAGGATACTGCGCAGATAAAGTGAATTGTGTCCAGTATGGAACTAGCTTTTGTTCAAACCCTGCTTATTCCGCTTTTGCTCATGACAGCTGTCCCAAACATTGCAATTTATGTTCCAGCAGTGGTACGAATGGTAAGAATGTGTAATCCCCAACCAAAATGCATTAAAATGCATAAAATTCATTTTTCAAAATTAGGATAGACATTGTATTAAGGTTTAATCTTATCTTTTTTTTCGTAAATGAGTCAAATACAACTCCCGTTTGGTATGAATTTCAAATCTCAAGTATGAAAAAGTGAAAATTTTAAAATGTACGCCATCAAAATTTGCAATATTGAAGCAAATGTCATTAACCTTTTTCAGGCGGTGGAATGACATGTAAAATCTTTTTTTTTTAAATATTTTTTGTGATATCATGTCCTTTTTATGGGTGATATTTAAAAGAATGGCAAAGTAATTTATTAACCAATATTCTATCTCTGATATGAAAGACATGTCCTGAAAAAGTATAAAATGTCATCTGACACTTTTCATATATGAAAATTGTCATTAAAAACGACATGGATTTTAAAAAAACAACAAACAATTAATTAATTAATTAATTAATTAATTAGGAATGTGTGCTGATAAACTCAACAACTGCGCTAACTACGGCAAAGCTGTCTGTACCGACGCTACTTACGCTGGCTGGGTCAAGGAGAACTGCCCAGCTTACTGTGGACAGTGTGGCAGCATGACCAGCGGCGGAACAATGACAGGCGGCGGCACAATGACTGGCGGAGGAGCAATGACTGGAGGTACTGGTGGTGTTTACTATCCTTCCGGAAGCGGAAGTGGTGGTGCAATGACCGGAACTGGTGGTGGAATGACTGGAACAGGATCCGGTGGGACTATGACTGGCACATCTACAGGTAGATTACAAGTTTTTCAGGCGAGCAGATAACAGATTAGAACATCATTATGGAAAATCAAAAAGTTTCTCTATACCGTAACCTGTACCTTTGTCTACCGAAATGTCTTATCATATCCCCGCTTGAAATGGGGGGAATATGTACTACATAGTGGTTGGGTGTGTCTGTTAAAGTTGTAATTTGGGGGTCTCCATCCCTGAGTTATATGCAATTCTTCCTGTACCACAATAAAATTTAATGAGACTTTCAATATATGCCACAGAGTGCCATTTGGAGGTCCTATATTTAAATTTCGATCAGACACATATTTTGGACTTCTCGTGGCAAAAACATTGACTCAACCATTTGGTGTATAATACAATGGTTCCCTTTTTTAAATTTGCAATTCCTTCTTATTCACTGGATGAGATTTGGTTTAATTTTCACAGAATCTTTATTACGTATGAGTTGAAATTTTTCTGGTATATTTGGGGTTTCCGATCAAAATTTAGAGGGGATATGTTTTTGTGAGCCCGCTGTTCAAATTACCACATTTTTTTATCTGACGCTGTTGCTATTCTGTATTTGTTTGCACTATTTACAGGCTGTGTATACAAGGGTCAGGTTTACCAACAAGGACAAACCTGGAAGGACGGGTGTACCTACAGATGCACATGTGCTGATGCCACCACAGGAAAATACACGTGCACAGGACTGTAAGTGTGAAATTCAGATATTTTTTTAGTCGGTTTAATGAAAACTCTCTTTCTCTTCTCTCTCTCTCTCAAAATTTTATTTATATCAGCACTCATAGCGAAAGTGCTTGACCTGCCTATAGTTTAATTAATATTTGAACCGAAAATTTTAAATACTTTTATCCATATTTTAATTCAGTATTTATGATTTTTATTTGTATTTTGCAGCTGTGTACAATGGAATCTTCCATCATCTTGTCGCTTGAATCCTCCTGCTGCTGGAAAATGTTGTCAGACACCTAACTGTCCCCCTACCGTACAAGTCCAGTACCCTCCAAACTTCGTTGAGGAGTAGACTTTTGTTAAACTCGAACAAAAGCACAATAAAAACATTTAATAATTTTTTTACATGTTTATCAGTGGAAGTGCAATTAACGATCGATCGCCATACGAATAATGTGATTGATATACATGTACAATACAATTTATTTTTTATATATATAAATTAAATAAAGTTTCAGACTTGTTTGTCTTGTTTTGAGCTTTTTTACCATAAAATGCAAATAAATAAAAAAAAAAGAAAACGCTTGTTCTCTAGAACAGCTAAACTTAAGAACTTAACAGATCCTTTTATATCTAATAGTTTCATTTCAGGGCAAGCTGAGATTGATTATGATTGAGTGTACACTGCTTTAAACCGAATTGGCAGTATTTGAGACACACCTCGGCGACTCAAATAAAAAAGAAAACAGGGCTTCAGAGTTATAGATACATGTAGAATGATATTAAAAAAAGAGGGTGTGTCGAAATACAAGAACTGTTGGGAAATTGACTTGGGCAGAACATGGTACTATTTTTGGTTTATAATGATTGGTCGATTACCAGTGTGATACCTTTAAGAGATAGGAGGCAGACGACGAGAATGGAGTTCAAGCCTATTCTCTTTTAAAATATATCAGTTAAAATTAAGAATATCCAAAAAAAAAAAAAAACAGATTATAGATACAATATATACAAAATCTTTATTGATGACATATAATGAATATCAGAATACTAGAAGAAAACAATGTGTAGATCCCTAATTTAAGAAGGAAAAAGGAAGGTTAATGCCCAAAGTGCCAGTGGTGAATCTTTTAAATCTTTTAAACATTGTATAAAGATTAGAATATTGGATGTCAAGCACAGACTATCCCCTTTACGTTGTAGTTCTTGAGAATAGGAATTAACAAATACAGGATTACTAATAACAAATCAAAAGCTCTTCAACACTTACTAAACTAGTTTTCCCACATCTTATTTATTCTGTATAAGTTTAGTAATTGTAATGCAATCCATATTTGTTCTGAATTAGTAAAAGGATATCTTCTTTGTTCCTCTGATGCAGCTTTTCCATGGTTGAACGTTTCCTTGGTTGCAGAAGAATGTTATTAAAATTTTCCCGTTTAAACTTGATGCGTGGTTGTATCTACCGACACTCCCCAATACTCTAACGGTTTCTCCGTAGGTTCGCAGATACATACGTGGTAATTGATTAGTGAGACTAACAACACCTGAACATGCTCGGTATGTTGGGGGATTTGAATTTGGAATTAGGCAACGAAGTTGACAGAATCCACCGCACGAATCATAAGCTGTCAGGTAGCACTTTGCAGCTCCATTGTTAGGATTTTTCACTGCAACAAAGGAGGTAACTTCTGATCTCGGTTTTTTTACATCTACAACTATTTGTTTCGTATACTTTCCTCGATATGAAAATCCATCGGACTGTACAAAGAGTTTGGGCGGAACTCGAAGGTTCTTATGAAAATATCGGATTCTTGATTTGAAGAAATTTTCTGGACGTCTTAAATAAACGATACGAACTGGCATAAATACCCAGCGGTTTATGTCAGAATAGCCGTCTAATGTAAATGTATTTCGAATCGGAAAATTGTGAAGATAGACGAATTTACGGACATTATTAAGGTTTAAAAGCCTATTATGCTTTGGATAAGGTCTTCTAATTCTTCCTCTTTGGGTATTAATATGATACGCACTTGGACCCCAAAGATTTATGAGTGGACTATGAGGTGATGGATATAAACGTTGGCGAAGAAGGGTTCCAGATTTTTCTGCAATGGTCAACCTATTCCGGGTTTCTAACGGCAAAGCTAATGCATTAGGACCAGGAAAAACGCCTTTATTGAAACTCCGCATCCCCTGCAAAAAGCCAACAGGTACCTCTTTGGAAATGTCTGTTCCATTTCTTATGTTTCCGTTCCCCGTCCTGTGATCTTTTATAAAGGACTGAAAGATTGCAATCCCCGCTGTATGATTTTCTCTTGTTGGTCCAGTTATTCCATTTCCTTTTAATGTTCTTGGATCAACAAATGAGGGTTGAAAGGGCAAAACCTCTTCCTCTTCCTCTCCCGTTCCATTTAAAAACCTTGTCGCATTAATAGCTTGAGCTGATGTTTGCTCACCTATATCGTTGGCAGAAAGTGCGACACATACCCCGCCCTGACACCTTAAAAATTTAGAATTGCTGCAGTTAAAAGCGCATGATGGCATATCATCGTAATGATAAAATTCTGTTGTAAAAACATCACTGTAGCCATCTAAATTTGTATAATTGCTGTAAATGTCCATATTTCTGCTTGGGTTATGCAGTTCAGATGGTGAAGTAGACATTGGCCAAGGATAATCAGCAGCAGGATCTACACCTTGTTGTCTAATTTTTTGTCTAAATCGCTCCCAGATATAGTCAATAAATGTTTGATGTAGAATAAATACGGGATCGTTGGCAGTCGCCCTTGCATTTCCCATATCACCTCCAACCCAGACATGAACATTGCCATGCTGGCCTTCAATAGTATTTTCGAAAAGTTCTTGAAATCCATTAGAAACTTGCTCGTGACGTGTAACGGAGGGATCTGTAAGAAATCGCCTTATAGCCGGTTTTATCATTAGAGCACCACCCGTGTGTATGTTTCTGTCCAGAATATTTCCGTCCGACGATTCCCAGCCTGCAAAGGGACCATTAATTACTGGACCAATACCATTTCCCACTAAGGCTCTACTGAACATTGCTGTTTCCGATGGGTTAACCATATCATGATCCATGGTGGAGTCCCAGTAACAGAGGGACACGGATCCATCAATCCTTTGAAGTTGAAACTCCAGGCTGTAAATCATTTAAAAGATAAGATTATCTCCCTTATGTACCATTTTGAGTGAGCAAAACTTATATGAGCTACCGAGAACTTAGTATACGTATTAGTATACTGGGATCAGCGATTTTTAAAATTCACAATTGTAATCTGACAGTGACATTAACTTAATAATCCCGCCTGTCATTCCTGTTTGTCGCCAGTTTTGTTTTATTTCAATAATTTCAAGTTTCTTAATTTAGCTAAAACAAACTAGAAGTAATTGTTTTTTTTTTGACAATAATAGCCTAAAAGCTAGGTCAAGAAAGTAGTTCTGATTAAAAAAAATTATCGATAAAAGAAAAAATGGCATATAAACATTTTAGATCTTGAGAATTATTAAGAATTGCTGTAACAGTATTTTGTGATTTTTCTTCTGAAGGACGTATGATTCAACATCACTTTGTTTATGACATCCAGAGAAAATTGACGAATATTTAAAAAATGAATTTCATTTTTGAAGATTCATGAGGTTATGAACTACGACGCTTCACGCCGGCACATTTCATGAAGCGCGTTAGCGCTTCATGATAAATATGCCGGCGTGAAGCGTTGTAGTTCATACCTCATGAATCTTCAAAAATTAAATTCTTTTCTTATATTTACATTATTTTTCTGATGAGTTGCCACAAATCTACGCCATTCAACTGTAATTTTTAAAGCAAAACAGTTTGCACTATACTTTTGACGTCAAGTGCGGTATTATGTCGTAACAATGGAGATATTCATGCTCATCCATGGTAGTTCATGAGAAAATGAACAGTGTTCCTATTTGCAAAGAATCTTAAGGAAAATTAATTGGAAATGTAAATATTCTCTTATGATGTGAATATTTTTTATTTTCATAAAGTTAAATCTAAATCTGAGGTGTTTTGTGCATAACTCAGTAAAATATGAGATTATCAATGTCTATTAATATTGGCTGTTGAATTTAATTGATTGATTGTATCTTTTTAACGTCACTCTCGAGAATTTTTTCACTCATATGTAGACGCCACCACTTGCCGGTGGAAAGCTACAAATTTTTACCCATACTCGGCACTCAGGGCCATTGAGTAGCGAGGGATCTTTCTCGTGCCAGCATCTACTGCGACACGGAACCTCAGTTTATACGGTCTCATCCAAAGAACCGGTCTCCACGTCCCACAGTGGGACTTGAACACGCGACGTAAGGATCGACTCCTTACTTCGCGACTCTAGAGCAGACGTTCTAACCACTGCCCCCCCCCCCCCCCCGGGCAACTGTTGAATTTGAGGAGTATATACTCTAGGCCATGTTGTATGTAAATAAGCATACAGAGGTATTCTTTTAAGGGCCTTTAAATTTGTTTTAATTTTATACAAACAAAATGGATGCCTGGATTGATGTTAATGTTTGGTTGTATTTTGGCTGTTAATGAGACGAGTACTAAATTTCTAAATTGTTAAGAAATTGTCAACTTTCTTTTTGCAGCCATACCTATTAATTTTCGTCACTTTAAGGACAGATGATACAAACAATTTTTTAAAAATATTTTTTAGACTATGTATTATCTGCAGTTGTTAACACATTTTAAGTTTTGTAAATGACAAAAATAAATATTTTGACAAATGAGGACAAAAAAAGATAAATGTCATAGTTGCATGTTAACTGTGCCTTTTGTGTTGTTGAGCAACACTTTTAGTCCATTTGAAACTAAACTGGCATTTGAACTTTGAAATCAATCAAATTTATCCGAACAAGCAGGATTATAAGAAAAACATTCTTTTTCAAATAGTATGGAAAACTTACAAAGATACGAAAGAGGTCACAGTGAATTGTTCGCCCTTAGTAAAATATAAATTGTACGTCAACTCCAAGAGAAAAAGATAGGAAACAGGATATTTGGTTGTGAAACACTGATGCTTTAGAATGGTAGCTCCTTAAGAAAGTAAAAGATTCTTAAAAGTAAGTCAAATTCCAAGGACGAGAATTAACAAAAAACATTGGTGCCTGTACAGAGTTTATCAATTAAAGGAAAACACCTGTAAACCATGGAAGCTTTTGCAGCAACAATTCAGAAAAAATGGTCAAGATACATGTATGTTTCAAAAGGAAGTGTAACTCAAAAATATAGGAGGGTGTAAAATGTTAGTTCAGAAAAGGTCTTATCAAACGGAATGCACAAGTGAAGTATGAAACCCGAGTCACCAACCCTGCAAAAGTAATGGTCAAGATTTAAGTGTGAAACATTAAAAAAAAATAACAAAAGTAGGTCGAACTCTCTGTTCAAGGGATAGAGGTCATATATGTGGGTGCTCAAACAAAGGTTTTGCCAAACGATACACATATGAAAATGAATATAAAATCCATAGTTCCTTGATCCACGTGAAAGGTTATCTTTTGTGTGTACAAACAGACAGACAAACAGAGAGACTAAAAACTATATGCACCCGAAATTCCAATTAAGGGGGCATAAAGATGGGAATTGTTGAATAATAGGAGAGGAGCTTCTGTTGATATCTGCATTCAAGGAAAACGCTCATGCATGTACTTTGTTAATAAAAGATATTTTCTATATGAAAAAAAAGATAAGATATAATAATTAAACACTAATTGATTTAATGTATAAAGAATTTAAAGCCGTCAATTGCAATATACTAGTAGTTTAAGATCATTCCAAAGGAAAAATATGAACGCTTACAAAAGTAGGTATACTCTGTGGAAACCTAGAAAGGCAGGTCCAAAATGTGCGGATCTTAAAACCATTTCGTGGAGATTAGCCCATTTATCGTAAAACTGAAATTAAAATGGAAATCTTCGTTTTTTACACAGACTATCTTTTAATACATTTTTTATTAAAAGCCTAATGACTTTGTTAATATTGTAATAATGCAAATATGTTTTACCTTATCTTTTTCATTTTTCAACTTTATTAGGGCATCAAAAAATCGTTTCCTTTGTGCATCATCTAACACTCGCAGTTCTCGCCGGAATGCACGTTGTGCCTGTCGTTTGTGACGCCTTTTGTTTTGAAGCCTTTGTTGGTATTCTCTGTAAAAGGATCGAATATAGTTGACCTGGCTCTCGGTCAAATTTAGCTGATGTCTTAGATTTGGGCTATGCCAGATATAGCTACCCAGACAGTAACTTTGTATGCTGTGGTCCTGGATGTCGCTTACAGGATTAAGTCCTTGGGTGAATTGTTCATAGCATTGCTTTAAAAGATTTGGCATATCTGTTTGCATCGCCATGGTATTTGTTTGAATGACAAACAAAAGCACCAAAATGGTAGAGAGAAAATGAAACTGAGCCATCTGAAAGGGATTTTGAATTACTTTAATAATAAATTATTATCTTTAAAACACACACTCACCTTTACCCTCACACACATACTTTTACGCACTTCCTCAACGCGCTCTTAAACGCAACAGCCCCCTATCAAACACCCCCCATAAACACATACACCCTCTCCTTCCCTTACATACACAAAAGACAAAAGAGGTCAACCATATAAAGAAAAGTCAATCAGAAAGTAAAACAAAAAAGGAACAAACACACTAAACAACGGCTTACTAACAATTCATGTTTAACATTTAAATTTTAAAAGCATAAAAAAATTATTCTAATCATTATGCAAATATTCATCTATATACAAGAAATAATGAACACGGAGCGACATATAAAAGTTATTGACTAATTCTAATATATTTCAAATCATTTTATTAAGGTTGAAATTATAAATGAATTATGCTTGTCAAGGCTTGATGATTCTAAATTGATTAATTAAAACATTTAGAAAATAACTAAATATTTTTTAGGAGAAAAAGAGGGGTTAAATTTAAATCGACGGTACATGTAACAATTGCATATTATAGGTCATCTTCAAAATATTATTGGTTACCCTCTACCAACGACTTTCAAAAAATAGAAACTTATTTTTAAAATAATATAGATTATTGAAATGAATATGAGATAATCTCATTTAATTGTTTGGATAGCATTAAACATAAGACACAACTTGGTACAAGTTATCTAGTTCATGGGAAAGTCAGCATCAGGATGAGTTAACTAGTATAGCAACTTCCTCTTCCTCTTCAACATCTCAGCCATTTTGGTCATTAGTAAAAGTTACAAACAAAAATCCAGTCCAATCCTAACCATCATGCCACCAAAAAGGAAGAGGGATATTAGAGGGGAGATGGTGTCGCCATCCAGGGGCAGAGGACACAAAAAGCTTCGCCATGCTCCCAGGCAGCAAAGGTCTGGAGCCAGGAATGATCATCCCCCCCCCACCATGCCGAACCAGAGACTGCAGGGAGTGATGCTTCACCCGACAGTGACTTGGGGGAATTCGCACCACCAATCATTGGTAATGTTGATTCAGATTTCTCCCTTGATGTAAATCTTTCTGATTTCACTCCTGTCCCAGAACTTAGCTATTTCGATAATGTAGGTCAACACATCCCTTTGAAGTTAAAACAAAAAATTTGGGATGGACAGTTTATCGAGTTAGGTCTGCTGTTAAAATCAGCCAAAGAGATTAATGATAGTTTGGGAGGACAAGGGGAAATTAAAATTAGAGATGGGAAATTTTGTATTGTCCGGTCAAAGGTTGGTTCATATTTGACAATCGAAAAATGGACAAATGCTTTTATGATTTACATGAGTGTTATAATAGAGAAATATCGCACTAGGGCCCAAGAGTTTTTAAAATACATGAGAGATATCAGACTAGCTGCCTCTAGATCACAGGGCTGGTTCAAATACGATGAACAATATCGGCTACGCAAAGCTAGCAATCCCGAATCCTCCTGGGGGGTTATAAGTCAAGAATTTTGGCTACTGTATGTGACCAACCAAAGTTCAAATTCTTTTGGCAGTCAGAATCACTTCAACAATACTAAACAAAATTTAGATGAGAGCAGCACATCCGCTGCTACCCAGTATTGCTATCATTTCAATCAGGGTAAAAAGTGCAATTTCTTCCCCAGATGCAGATTCAAGCACGTCTGTAGGAGGTGCGGAGGAAAGCACCCGGCCACAACCTGTTCCACCAAGGCAGCTGTATAAACTGGGCAAGACCCCAATTTAACTAGATAAAATTTTTTTACATACACAAAATTATTCTGATCATCAATTTTTAAGGGAAGGTTTTCAACATGGTTTTAAATTACAGTATTTTGGCCCTAGATCACCCAGCTTTTCTAAGAATCTTACAAGTTTAGACAAACAATATCCAGTTGCAGAGCAAAAGCTTTACAAAGAAGTCTCATTGGGGAGGGTTGCGGGTCCCTTCATAGAACCACCTTTTCCAACATTACAAGTTTCTCCTTTAGGTCTTGTACCTAAAAAAGACGGTGACTACCGCCTCATTCACCATTTATCATATCCAGAATCTGCTTCAATAAATGATTTCATTGACCCAGAACAGAGCTCAGTAACCTATTCAACCATAGATGATGCTGCCGCCATTATTGCAAAATTAGGTCGGGGGGCATTTCTGGCGAAGTCGGACATTAAATCAGCCTTTAGGTTGCTACCAGTGAACAGCACTGATTTCGACTTGTTAGGTTTTCACTTCAATGATGGTTTTTATTACGACAAGATGCTACCTTTCGGTTGCAAAATAAGTTGTGCAATTTGGGACAGATTTGCTTGCTTTCTGCATTGGCTTATACAGGATTGCTCAAAAAATGCCTCAATCCTGCATTATCTAGATGACTTTCTTTTCTGTGGCAAAGAACTTCCCATTTGCAAAAATACGTTGGACGCTTTTCTTTATCTGTGCAACGATCTGGGGGTCCCTATTGCAAAAGACAAAACAGTATATCCAATGCAGGTTCTTACGTTCTTGGGCATTGAGTTTGATACGATGGAAATGATCATGAGGTTACCGTTGGTAAAAATCGATGAAATCAAACAAAAGATTCTCGACATTGTGGCACTTAAGAAGGTTACTCTTAAGCAACTTCAGTCTTTATTGGGTTTGTTAAATTTTGCATGTAGAGTTATAGCTCCAGGTAGGGCTTTCTGTCGACGTTTGATTGATGCAACAATTGGCCTAAACAAACCTCATCACCATACCCGTGTAACGTTAGAAATGAAAGCAGACCTCAAAGTCTGGCTTGACTTCCTCCAATCATTTAATGGCATTTCAGTCATTACAGAAGGTATATGGGTGAATAATGAGACTCTACAACTCTACACTGATAGCGCAGGGGGAGATAAGGGGGGCTTTGGTATATATTTTGCAGGCAAGTGGACATATGCTCAATGGCCCATTTCCTGGTTTGTACAAGGCATAACCCGTGACATGACCTTTTTAGAGCTTTTCCCGGTCCATATAGCTATTGAATTGTGGAAACATCAATTTTCCAACAATAGAATTTTGTTTTACATTGACAATATGGCGGTGGTACATGTCATAAAATCGACAACATCAAAGTCACAAAGGGTCATGAAAATTGTAAGAAAACTAGTTCTCACTTGTCTCAAACACAATATTTTGATTAAAGCAAAACACATACCTTCAAAATCAAATTTTATTGCGGATTCTATCTCTCGTTCACAGTGGGGCAAATTCCGACGGCTAGCACCGGCAGCAGATCCATGGCCAACACCGCTTCCCAAGAATATGTGGGAAATTTAACAAGGGAGGCAAACAGACTTATACAGGGTTCACTATCAGCAAACACATACAAAGCTTACCAGGGGGCTCTCACCAACTTCAAAAAATTCCTGAATAATTGTGGGACCACATTGTATTTCCCCATTCCTGTTGATCATTTGCTTAATTTCATTGCCCACCTTTCTATTTCAGGTACAGCTTATAGAACAGCTGCACTGTACATTAGCGCATTATCATATATCCATAAATTAAGAGGCATACAAGATAACACTCAATCATTCATTGTCAAAAAAGTCTTGCAGGGTCTCCACAAAAAGAGAGGTATCACTTTAGATTCTCGAATCCCATTAACTGTATCTATCTTGGAGCATGTAGTATCAGCATTGCCATCAGTGTGTAGATCATCTTACGAGGCAGTTTTATTTTCCACACTTTTCTCAATTGCATATCACGGCTTGCTTAGAGTAAGTGAAGCTTTGAATATCCATAGGGCACACATCACGTTTACTAGAAGCAAGGTCAGCATCTTAATTCCCAGGTCCAAAACTGACCAAATGGGAAATACAACAACATTGCATATTTCCAAACAGTTAAATTCGGATATTTGCCCAGTACAGTGGGCACTCAGGTTTTTGCAGCTGCGCCCTAATGATGGTTCCCTTTTATGCTTTATTCATGTCAACAATAAGGGTGTAACAAGATACCAATTCAACTATGTGCTTCAAAAAGCACTTCAATTCAGGAACATTCAAGGACACTTTAGACCACATAGTTTTAGAATAGGTAGGGCTACAGATCTTGCAAAACAGGGGTTTCCAGATTCAGAAATAAAATCTTTGGGCCGGTGGGAGTCAAAAGCTTTCAGAAACTACATAAGATTATAAAATGTTAGCATTGTTAAATGGAATACAGGCTAATTTTGCCAAAGTATTCCAGGTTTCAAGACGATTTGGATAGTGGGATCTTCAATACCTTTTTGGGCTGGTGAGGAGGCAGGGAGGAGACCGGGTGGAAAGAATCTTAATCTTGGGATGGACATCACTTGGAAGGGAATTAGAGGGCTGAAATGGGAAGATCTTGACAAAGTGTTAACAGATGAACTCAAACACCAACCACACCCAGATGTACTAGTCATTCACGCAGGGTCAAATGATCTAACTACGGCTGGCAATACTGCACTTAGATTTTCACATGAAATTCAATGTAGTTTGTATCGTTACAATGTATTGCTTCCTAAGACTTTGCTCATTTGGTCAACAATGCTTCCCCGTCTTTATTGGCATGGTGCACCTCTTGGCAAGGGTGGGGCTAAGATTGATTTAAAACGGCGTAAGGTGAATAAGGCCATTAGAAAATTCATTACATCCGAAGTTAATGGGGCTTGCATTTTTCATGACAAAAATATCAATGTGCATCAAAGCAGTTTATTTAGATATGATGGAACTCATTTATCGGATAGGGGGAATAAGGCTTATTTAAATAATATCCAGGGTGGTTTGGAATTCATTTTAGGGGGAAAGGGCAAAAATTTTCCCTCCTCAGTAATGCCCTTTGTTTATCAAGTCAGATTTCAGTTGCGATGACGCGATGACCCGTAATTTCCTAGTTTAGGATTGCTATATATATAAATATTAATTTTGGTGCAAATTGTTGTGGGGAACATCATATCGATGTTAGTGGCGGGGTCAAGGGAGACATCAGCCTTGTACACGCTTAACCTGTTTGTCTCTGCCCATCTGCATCAAAGCATGAGGGGGGGTATCATGGCTGTGTTTTAACATGGAAGTTAAATGCCATTGAGGAAATGTGTAGAATAAATGTAAATTGCTTGGGATCTGCAGCATTTCAGTGCTCAGACCCCCTCTACCTATATAAAAGTAGGAGAGGCTACAGGCTGGTTGGTGTTAAAATTCTAAACCAGGTAGCAAGCCAGAGGCAGGGTGTAAAAGCTGTGCAGCTTGTGTGCCTAGCCATCATGCGTGTGTCAGGCATGGGGTTCCATGGCACTCGCATCTAAGCGAGGCCACTAGTTTGCCCGTTTGTTTATGGTATCCTAGTTGTCTCCCTTGACTCCTACAAAATTTGCGGCCATTTTCATCCAACATTGTGTGTGTTGTATTATTATGATCTTGTTTCTCAATAAATTAGTAAAGTTAAAATTGGTGTTTTCAATTCTCAGAGCTGTCTGGAAGACAGTCTCAGTATAATGGTATTGAAAAGGCAGAGAAAGCAAAAATATCATGGGCTGCAATATTCAATTAAAAATTCTCTATGAAACCATTTTTTTATTTATTCCGGAACTTTTTCAATCGTACAATAACTATCAATTTATTATACCCGCACTTTCTAAAGAAAGTTCGGGTATATTGTTGTTACTCATGTCCGTCCGTCCGTCCGTCTGTCTGTCACACTTTTCTTCCCTGAACTCCTCCTACATTTTACACAGTAGCTTAATCATCTTTTGGGAGATGGTTGGTGGAGTCATGTAGATGTGCAGTAAGGTTTCAGAATTTTGATTTTGCCCCAGGGGGGTCAAAGTGGGGTCGAAAAATGACGTTTTTTATGCAAAAAGTCCCGTCTTCCCTGAACTCCTTCTACATTTTACTCAGCAGCCTAATCACCTTTTGGGGGATGATTGGTGGTGTCATGTAGATGTGCAGTAAGGTTTCGGAATTTTGATTTTGCCCCAGGGGGTCAAATGGGGGTCGAAAAATGATGTTTTTTATGCAAAAAGTCACGTCTTCCCTGAACTTCTTCTACATTTTACTCAGCAGCCTAATCACCTTTTGGGGGACGGTTGGTGGTGTCATGTAGATGTGCAGTAAGGTTTCGGAATTTTGATTTTGCCCCGGGGGGTCAAATGGGGGTCGAAAAATGAAGTTTTTTATGCAAAAAGACCCGTCTTCCCTGAACTCCTTCTACATTTTACTCAGCAGCCTAATCACCTTTTGGGGGATGATTGGTGTTGTCATGTAGATGTGCAGTAAGGCTTCGGAATTTTGATTTTGCCCCGGGGGGTCAAATGGGGGTCGAAAAATGACGTTTTTTATGCAAAAAGCCCCATCTTTCCTTAACTACACTTACATTTTACTCAGCAGCCTAATCACCTTTTGGGGGATGAGTGGTGGTGTCATGTAGATGTGAAATAAGGTTTCGGAATTTTGATTTTGCCCCAGGGGGTCAAATGGGGGTCGAAAATGATGTTTTTTATGCAAAAAGCCCCGTCTTCCTTAAACTCCTTCTACATTTTACACAGTAACCTTATCATCTTTTGGGAGATGGTTGGTGGTGTCAGGTAGATGTGCAGTAAGGTTTCGGAATTCAGATTTTGCCCTGGGGGGTCAAATGGGGGTAGCAAAATGACGTTTTTATGCAAAAAGCCCCGTCTTTCCTGGACTCCTCTTATATTTTACTCAGCAGCCTAATCATCTTTTGGGAGATGGTTATGGGGTCATGTAGATGTGCAGTAAGATTTCGGAATTTTGATTTTGATTTTGCCCCAGGGGGTCAAATGGGGGTCTAAAAATGATGTTTTTTATGCAAAAAGCCCTGTCTTCCCTGAACTCCTCTTACATTTTACTCAGCAGCCTAATCACCTTTTGGGAGATGGTTGCTGGTGCCGTTTAGATTTGCAGTTAGGTTTCGGAATTTTGATTTTTCCCCGGGGGGTCAAATTGGGGTGGAAAAAGGATGTTTTTTGTGCAAAAAGTCCTGTCTTTCCTGAAGTCCTCCTTAATGTTACTCAGAAGCCTAATCATCTTTTAGAAGAGTTAAATATTTTGAAAATTATGTAAAACATCAACGTCAAGGGGTGAAAAAGCATCGCATGCTGGGAGACACATTGAATTCTTATGAGTAATTAATGTACATGTCAAATGTGAGTCATATCTCATCTCAATCAAAAGTTATAAGCAAATGCAACGTTTTTGAAAAGTATGTTAGGCATCAAGGTCAAGGTCACAGAGTAAAAGTCATGATTCATTTGGAAAGGTCTTATCACAGGTAATAATATACATGCATTATAATATGAATGCCCTAACTTTTCTCTTTCAAAATGATGAATTTATAACAATTTAATTTTTTTGCAAGTAGGTCAAACTTCTAGGTCATATGTAAAAAAAAAACCCATGCCATTCTCACAGGTAAATACTAGTACATAAGTTTAATATGAATGCCTTGTCTCTTCTCATTCAGTAGATATGACCGTGATGACCAAGGTTAAATCTATTGAGACAGATGGACAGTCTGACATACAAATGTACATATTTCTATATGAATTGGGAAAATATGGCCCAGTGGTTCTAGAGAAGTTAAAAATGTAAAAGGTTTTTAGACAAACAGATGGACAACACGTCACGACAGACGTTATATGATAAGGAAACCAGAAATTAAAGCTCAAATGAGTGTTTTGAAAGGGTTACAATATGGTTCCAGTATTTGAAAAGCTGTTTTTCTCATGCAGAGATATGCATGACCAACATATTCATGTTTTATATTTTCTTTAGTAATTTGTTTGTTTGTTGTGGATACATCTCTCTCAGGAATTTTTCCCTCATATGGAGACACCACCAAATAATAATGAAGACAAGATGTGTTTGTTAAACACTGATGTCCCTGTATGGAAGCCTATGGCGAAGGTTGAAGTTTCTCAAATATATGTCAAACTCAAAGGTCAAGGTCAAAGGGTTCAAATTGTTGGTATCAGAAGAAAGTCTTCTTGTCACAAGGAATGCACATTTGAAATAAGTAATCCCTAGTACTTCCTGTACAAAAGTTAATTGCCAAGGTTAATTTTTTTTAAGTGGTTCAAACTCTAGGGTCAAGGTCAAACATATTTATACCTGTTGACAGTTCACAATGAATACACATATTAAGCATGAAAGCCCTAGCACCTACTGATCAAAATCTATGCCAAGTTTAAAGTTTGGCATTTTTCTTGTAAAAATGTGTATCCTAGGTCAAGCGATCAGAGGTAAAAATTAATGGTACCCAAAAAAAAGGTCTTAATTGTCACAAGAAATAAACCTATAAAATGTGGAAGCCATTTGTATAGCCCATCCCACTTAAAACTTATGGGGCAAGGCTATAATTTCTGCAGACAAATAGACAGACATAATATAAACACAAAAAGCAAAATATGTAGAATTAGTCAAATGGAAAAAAAATTCTATTTAATTGGAATCACAAAATAGATTGTTATTTCAAGGACAGGGAGTGGGTAGGGAGATTGGAACCCCCCTCCTGGAATCTGCTTTGTTATTTAAACAAGACTTACTATATACTGAAGCAAATAAAAAATGACTTTGGACATCCTCCCCCTAACTTAGAAAACATTGACCCCACTATCATTTTTTTATTTTGTTTATTTGTTTTCAGTTTTTTTTCTCCTGCTTATCAGGAAATTCTGGGCTGGAATTTTTTGACTGAGATATGAACCCCCCTCCCTACTCCCGAAAAAAGTTCTGGATCCGCACCAGTATTGACAGTAACTTCACAATATGAAATTCTTCTAGTGTGGCATGCGATGATCTTTGACCCTTTTTGAACTTTAACCTAATCGTTTGGATTTATTTCACCCCACTATGCTTAAACGTGAACTTACCGACCTCCATAGGTCTTGTCAACTTCATGAAGTAATAGTATAATCCAATTATAACACAAAATGAATTAATCCAATGCACACCAGACTGCAGCATGTGTGCTAATGCTATTCCATTCGGCAAACCTTCGCGCCGTCGATTCCGTCACCTTATCAGATGAAGTGGGAATCGGCCGAGGTGTGCCGAATGGAGTTTAATCTAAAAATATGCTAATGGGTGTCGCAACGTGATGTGATGTAGAAATTTACATGTTAACATGTATAGTACAAATTTTAAATTAATTCATAACAAATGTTTTAACAAAACTGTTCCATCTAGCCTATTCCAAAAAGTATGTGCAGTGTGATTGTGGTGTCGAGGGGTGGGGGATTAGTAAATTTAAAAAGGTCCTATTATGAGCAAAACATTTATTAAAATCTAATTTACAACATTAATAGAATTCAAACTGGTATATAATGAATTAAGCATGTAAAATAAATATAAGAGTTTTGAGTTATGGTCACAGGGAGAATTTCATACTCAATTTGATGAATACATATAGAATTATTTTGACTTTTTCCTTGGAAAGCCGCCCAATATGTAGGAGCGTGAATTTAGAGGCAAACACCTTAGTGCGGTTATTACTGTCTCATGACAGCATCTAGTTGTCAATACCTTTACTTAAAAAAAGATTTTGAAAATTCAACATGCACATTGAAGTGATTTATAACCTACCTAACGACCAAATTTCCTTATCCTGAGTCGGGAATGGAAAACAGACATTATTTTAAATCAAAATACTATTAAATCAGAGCCTGTTATAAATAAACTTTTAAAAAAGGCAATTGTTATCAAAGAAAAACTGCTTAAAAATGGAAAAAAAAATCAATTCATGTATAATTAAATATTGTTGAGTAATTTCTAGAAAATATATTTTCCTGGTGTATTACATTATACGGAAAAATGCTTCTCTACGTAGGAGATATCATTTAAATAAAAACGGGGAAGGAAAAGGGGGTGGAAAGAAAATAAAATAAAATGCAATAACAAACAGCTATTCAAGCTCAAAAGTCCATTAAGCAGTACAAAATAGGAGCAGACAAAAAAGGACCTCCGAAACAGGGATCAGGTGACTTTAGCTTTTCAATCGTCAACTTCCCTTAATTATCCAGCAATATACCTTCATAACCTGCATACGGTGTTTATAACTCTCATTCGATTTGATATGACAGTGTATGCTCTACGTATGTACAATTTCTAAAACAATGTAAATTATTGACAAACAAGTTGATGAACTAGAATATTAATATTTCGTTTAAATTCAACATTTCTTAAGTTCTATTGTCGATACAATATCCTTGTCAGCAAATACAATTTATCACTCAAATGCTTTAAAATTTGAATTGAATTTCCTTCAAACAACTTAACGTAAAAATGAGTCAGTTCAATATTTTCAGTTATAGGATCTTTAAGGCTTCGTTACAACGATATATCCGTAAATTCATATTAACATAAGTCATTCTACATATAGGCCTATATTATTACCATATATTAGTATCTCCTGCTCTGTTCTCACTATTCTTCTGGGACCGGGCCATGAAGAAACGAACTTATAACTTCATGTCAGAAATAATCCACATAGGTTTTTTTGGTTTTATGGAGAAGAGTTATTAGACCCCCCTCCCGCCCAAAAGTTCACCCTTTCTTAATAATATTCTCCTGAAAGAGGATTTAAACAACTTTGAAAACCTTTTACCAAGGGATAATCTGTGGCAAGGTTGGTGGTATATATAGAATAGTTTAAAATATTTTTTTTAAAAATACAGAATCGAACAGACAGAGAGATGGATAGATACGAAACCTACTCTGGATAAAATATCACTAGCTTTCAGCTAAGAGAAAAAGTATAATTTTTGTCTGCCGCTTTTTAACTAATGCATTTAGTTCATTTTTGACAAAAAAATAAATAATAATACAAATATAAAAAAAATATAATTTATTTTACAATTGCACAATTTGTGAAATTTGTAAATAAATAAACTGATATGAAACTTACCTCTAAAGAAACGCTCTATACGTCTGTTGTGTGCAATGAACTATCAGAACAGGTCTTTTATATACTTAACAGAAAATTTCCGACTTCAAATTATATTACCAGGAATTTCCATTTTGTTTTAATTAATTGAGTTTTATCTTGTTATAATTAAATCTGGGAAAATGCTTGTAATTTTCCACTAATTGTTTTTAAATATGTTTTTTTTATTCGATATTTTCTCTACTTTAATTCGAAGACATGTTATTTTTGCTTCGTACAAAAGTTGTATACATGTACATGCAGTAAAGAAAAATGAGAAATTATTGAGTATTAATTTAAATAAAAAGAAAGAATGCGTTACTGCTACCAGCACTTTTTTCAATTTCATACTTATTTTTCTCCACTTTAATCCAATGATGTAATTTTTGCTTCATACAGAATATATACATGTACATGCACTAAAGAGAAATGAGAAATTGTCGAGTATTAATTTAAATAAAAAGAAAGTATACACTACTAGCATTTTTATTCTATTTCATACCAATTGATAGTATTTTATACAAAATATAACGACAGATTACTTATTTAAGTAATCAATACATAGGGCTCACGGAATGTGTGACTGGTGACAGGTGAAACTTATTTTCCTTATGCACCTGAATCCATCCCTTGATTTTCTGATGGTCTTTATTTAATACCCTATTTATAAATTTAGATGGATTGTCTATTTAGGTTTTTTTTTGAAAAGGAAGAAAAGCTGCTCTTGTCACTTTTCACTGGTTGAATTTTTTGTTAAGGTCATTTCAGGGTCACTAAATTGCTTTTAGTGATTTTTTCAAAAGAATTTATAAATACTTCGTAAATAACAGGTTTGTTGTCTTATCTATTTAGTCTTTAAATGAAATGGTATCTGAAATATTTTTGAAAAAAACCCTTTTCATTATTTTCTAAACTTTGCATACTAAGAAAAAAAGATTGGCATCATCAAACTGACATACGTTAAATGGACGATTAAACAGAATTGTATTCAATATTAAAGATATCTGTCATTCACTCCATCATTTCTTTTTAAATTGCGTCGCCCACTTGACGCAGTGGTAAATGCGTCTGCTCTAGGGTCGTGAAGTAAGGCGTTGATCAGGTTTGTTCCCACTTAGCCAATATTTTGAAAAATCTTATTCCCACATACCCAGTAGTTTGATTTTCACTCCTAAGTGATCGACAGGATATAGTCTGTTTTCAGGTATATATGGATAACCTTAGAATGACTACCACTGAAAAAAGAGTAAAATATATTAACCAAAATTAAAATTTTAATAAAATTAATAAATCATAAATTAATTTTTATTTAAAGTTCCAGAATTTTTTTTTTGTGGTAAATATAGTAAAATAAACAAACATCTGCATTTAAAAAATAATAAATTAAATATTGATAAAAGTTATAATATCTAATATTAAAAGAAATGATGTTTTTATGCTCTTTAATAAAATTAACATTTGAGATTAGAAATATTCATCTGAGTATGTAATATTTGGTCATGGTATTTGCATGAACACAGTAATAGAAGCTTATAAAAAGTAATTTATTTTCTGATGAAGAAATAACTTACATATTCATTCCATACTTGATGTTCACAACCCTGCTTATTAATTAATTACAAGGGTTGTTCAATAAAAAAAAATGCCCTCGGTGCTCGGAAAAAAAGCAAAAGACAATTCAGTTTTAGAACTCATTTTTGACTATTGCGCTTATGGCAGATCCTATGATCTCCTGGACTTGTTTCTTCTTTCTGAAAGGTGTTGTTTTTTTTTCAAGTTTAGAAAATGAACCAAGTCAAAGGGTGACAAATCTGGTGAATATTATTGTGTGACAAAACCTTACTTTTCTGTTTATCCTGAAAACACCTTTACTCTTCATGGCGTGTGGGTTTGGAAGCTGTCACAAAGAAATTTTTTGTAGTGGATTTCTGATTCTAGTTCCTTCCTCTCAAAAACCTTTAGATTTTTGTCAAACAATTTGCATTCTAAACTCCTCCAGAAATTAACTGCCTTCCCGAATAAGAATTTGAACAAAATGACCAAAAATATATAAGAAAATGGCATATAAAACTTTTTGTCCTTTTGTAATGCTTTGCTCTTTTCAGACCTTAGCCGTTTTTTGTCAAGTGCATCTTATTGTAAAAATGTTTTGAGGGTAATAAAACAATGGATTTAAGTTTCATTATCTGTTTGCATTTCAAACAAACGTGAATAACTACAATTTCTGGGTTTTTTAAATAACTGTTTAGATATCCTTTCACGGTGTCGTTTTCACTCATTTTTCAAAACATAGGATGACCATTGAGTACGTAGCTTTATCACTGTCAAATGATTCTTTGAAATAAAGTGAACTATCCCCAAATTAAAAGCCATTAAATTTGCTATGTGTTTTAAAGTCAATCGAACATCATAAGTGATAATTTGTTGAATTTTGTTGAATTTTGGCAAACAGAACATTGGTTGTTTTAAGTCCTTGTCGCCATGGACGGAATCCATTTTTGATGCCCAATATATCATTTTTGTTCTTTAAAATTTACCTGCTCATATGTCTATAAAACAGGCATGTGGTTGCTGTAAAGTCCATAAATTTCAGTGAATATTTCTTTTGGAATCTTATCAAGTTTTCCAGGAGCCTAAATGAAGCGTTTAATTTCACTCTAGTTTACTGATTCTTGACCATTTATTTCTAATGCAGTGTCTTAAATAGACCTTGTTTTTCAGCTTCTCACAATGTAAATATGAGATGAAAGTTGTTCACATATAAAGATATCACAATTTAATTTGGATTCTCGGAATTTTCTCCGACTCGGAAGAAAATACAAAAGATTTAAATAACACATTACAGAGAAGACAAAATCGTATTATTAGTTGAAACGAGGTGTTCTCCGTGTTCAGAATTGTATGAAAAGTTTTAATTTAAATGTATTAACTATATTTCTTAACTTAATTTTGTATTTTTCAATTTGTATAGTTTTATTCTACCATTGAAAATGTCCAAAAATTATTTACTTTCACAAAAAATCAATGTTTGCACATTAAAGAAGGCATGTTGCATCATATTCTGTGTTTTTCATTTTGAATACTTATATTTTAGGCTTGATTAAAGCTGTGCTATTACATGTATTTATCAATTTTAAAAAAATAAGAGAGGAAAGACCATTAATACTTCAAAAACATATATTATATTGAATGAATTATGCAATTCTATTTTATAAGAAACATATTTAAAGCTTCAAGTATAATTATGGCAAATCTGAGCTGAAATATGAAAAGAGATTGAGTGTAGATATACATATGTACATGATAAATGTTATTTGCGTTCAAATTTAAATTTTCACCAATTTTGAACTTAAAATTTTCTCCATAGTTTAAATGACTTAAATTTTTTTAACTTCATTTTTTTCTGTTCTTGATTCTTCTCACAGAAAACTGTATTTCTTGTATTTAAAAATTAATGAAATTTTCACAGAACCAAGAAGACAATATTACTAAGTGATGGTGTTAGTTAAATTAGTTTCCCTGGGCATTAAAAATAAAAATAACTCTACCCAATCATCTGATAGGGTCTTCTATTTCAGAAGATTAAATGTTTTTCTTTTTTCATAAAAAGATATTAGTATATAGGATCCATAAGATGACATTACCAAATTGACACAATTAGGTTAACAAAAATAAATTTTGTCTAATCCGAATTTTCTCTATTTTTCTCAAAATTTTAGGTTATTTAAGTAATCTTTATATGTGCCCTATCTTTAAATTTTCTTTATTTTTACAAATGGTAAAGAAGTCATATAGAGATACAAAATGATACAAAAACAAAAAGTTTTGACCGTTTACTAAGAGAGTAAAAACACTTTCTACGGATTTTTGGTTCATATATTTACTTAGATTGGAAGCTTTTAAAAGCTAATATAGTTGTAGTTTGTTTGGAAAATCATAATTATTTGATATATTTTAAAACTTTAGTCCCTTTTTATTAATTTAGCAAACATTTGAAAAATTCTTCCAAGTCTTTGATTGTGAAAAATTATAACTAAATTCGTTGTTCTATAATACATTTGAGAAAAGAAAAGAAGATATTTACATATGCCACCATTTCGCCAAAAATATAGTCCCTGCTAGTTTTCGAACACAATTTGCCATTTCTATTTAAAGTTGTAAAATTGTGATGAGGGAAGAAAAATATGGTCTTTTAAATCTCTTTCACCTAAATATATGAGACATATAAGCAAATATACATTGAATATTTTATCTACTCTGAAACCAGAGAAGAATCCTACCTTAAGGGCGCCGACTATAGTTTCCATTGCGCAATATTTCGTGCATCATAGTTAAATGAAGCATATTTACTGTTTTAATGCAACTTTTTTCGCTTAATTATTAAAATTAAACAAAATTAAGAAATAACAGGTATAAAAATGTAATTACAATTTGATATAACTGATTTTTTAACCGATTTTACAAATGATAGGTAGGTTGACGTCGTTGCAGTGTGTTTTTGAAGCTATGATAATCTGTAGCTCTTAAAGAAAGGGGTAATAAAAATATTATTCAAGAAAAAGTAATAAAACATACGCTCTTGAAATTTAAAACATAGAAATTTAAGAATATCTCTAATATCTTTATTATGTTTTCATGTGAATCCATTGTGTACGTCATATTTTGTAATACTCTATAAAAATAGTAAAATTTGCTAATTTTTTGCATTTTGAGATGCCCCCTCTGGTAACAAGACGGTAGAATTTTGTGTTTATTGCATATATTGTATAATATAGTATTACTCATCAAATGTTATAGTTTGAACAAAATTTCTATTGTAGTATTTGTATAATTTGCTTTAAAGTGCTAAAAATGGGCATTTTCCTATATAATCCTATAGTAAATGTACCTGTATTTTGAGACGGTCCCTCAAAAATACCTGGGTGGTAGATTTCCCCCAAACTTTGCATGTACACTGAAGTTAATGTAAGTTACATATGGTATAAAAATGAAGAGTTTCGCTATTGTA